TGAAGGAAAACCCTAAATATCGAACATAATAGACCCCGCTCTCTTATTCTGTAATTTGCAATTTTGTTGACGTTAATGTATCGTTTGCGCAGGTATTTTACGACACATATTGTCTGCGCATGAATAATGCATGAGTTATGCCACATAAAAAAAAAGCGTTAAAAAAAGTTATAGAATAACTTCGCTGATTCTACTTCCTCGACTTAGTATAAACCGAGCGTTGAGTCTAAACGTTGCGTGTGTGTGTGCGCTTAGAAAAGAAAGTTATTTAAAAAAGAAAGTTTTGTAGTGCTTTTTTTTATGCGTTCTCACTATAGCACATGTTAGTTTTTTATCTCACATAAAAAAAACGATCGATTTATATATTTTACAAACTATTTTCGAGCTGCTAACAATATGCTATGTATGTGGCCAACTCTAAAAAAATTAGAGTAAAACATTTAAAATAGAACGGATAGTGATTTGTAAAAATATTATGAATAGAAGTGAAAGGCATGAAATTGCCTTGTTTTTATGTAAAACATAAGGATTTGCAATAGGAAGTTCTCGGTAACTTTCCAATCTTTTATTTTTTTTTTTGTTTCTACCTCTAATGAGAAAAAGATCCTTTTACTTTTCCGAATTAGGTTCAGGAAACAACATTTGACACGACCAAAATATTAAAAAAAAAAAAAAGTAAAAGTTTTTTTTCATATTTCTCGTAGATAAATAACAAAGTTTAAAATATTAAATAATAAATAAACAATAGTTACAAATGCCAGAATTAGCTACAGAGCTATACGATACACGGAACGAAGTTTCGTCCTCATGAAGCAGGGTGGAATGACCTCGATAGTACAAATTATCTCGCCAAACGTAGGTGGCCCGTATATATTCGTGTCGAGTGGCCCTGCGAAAATAGCAGAACCCGTGGACCCGTCTCCGAGAGGCTGCGAATCCTGGTGGGGGCATGATTATATCGGGTGGGAGAAATTGAGAGAAGGGTGTATCGTGTGTATCTCGTGTGTGTGTGTGTGTGAGAGAGAGAGAGAGAGGAGAGAGAGAGAGAGATATCTGTTGGCCTAGTTAGGGTGAGTGCCACCCTTGGCGGTCGACGACCTCGCGACCTCGACGTCCACGAACTTCCCTCTCGCCCCGCGAGACATCTACGGTGCCAAAGAACATTACTCTAGAGAATCTACTTGCGAAAGAGTTTGACGTTGCTCATATTTATATACTTTTATTACACATATTCTTTCTTTGTCATTAAAATATCTATTTCCATTTTTTTTTAAATATAATTTTGCAGTTATTACTGTTTTTTGCTTTTTGACTCTCGTTCTCTTGCTTACATATAAGCTAGCTGGAATAAATCGCGCTCCTATCTCATCCTATCTCGCATAATGTGGAAAAAAAAATTGCGTGTTTAAAACGAATATGTTATAGCAGAAACGAAAATACTTTATACTAAATTTGTAATTAAGAGATTAAATGCAATAATTTTCTGAGAGAACAGAAAAGCTCGCGAGACACATCCACGTGGGGAGGCAATGTACGAGTTGGAGTGAATATAATATCTGCAGCATGGGGCGACAGGTTGGATAGAAATGCTATACTTAGCATCGAAGGGAGGGATGAACGATACCGGGTCTGGTTGGTGGGTCAAAGTTCGTTGACCTCGGGGTTACCAGCCCTCCCTCTATCCCCATGACCCCTCTCCCATTCCGCCTAAGTTGAGGGTTGGCGAGCGTGAGTAATCGTTCAGTTCATTTGAATTTCTGTGAAATACTTTAGATCGTAAATGACTGTGTTTTTTTTTTTGTGTGCTAATGAAGTTAAATAAACGAAATGTACAGCTACATTGGAAATAAGCGTAAAAACTAACGGAATATAACAATGCGACTTTGCTTATATATATATATATATATAAAATTCGAACAAAATATTTGTTTAATAGAATATACAAACAATACAATTACAAATTTTTTACTTCTTTTCTCATAATATACATCGAAAGAGGCAAGTTTATCAGAAAGAAAGTAAGAGTGGTATGGCTAGGAAGTTAAGGCAGCGGTGAAGGTGGTTCGTCCGGATGCCAATGAAAGGGAAATACGCGCGTACGAGAAGACAACTCTCTTTCTCTTTTTTCTTTCTCTTTTCTTCTCTCATTAAGCAGTATTTGTTTTGCTCATTTATATTGATTTCATAATACATTTTGTATCAAATGTAATCAATGTGAGACAAAAAAGTCAATCACGACAAACAATTTATAAATGTTTATCATGTTACTCTGAACACTTTTATATTACAGACTTATTAGCTGTGCCGCACTTCTTGAAAGCGAATTGTATTATACTTTTAAAGTAGATGATATCATAATTTGTTTGATTTATTGTTGTACTTTTGAGATCTGTATGTGTGTGCGATTAATAGGTTAGTAGTTTTCTTCTGAATAAACTAATGTTTCTGCACCAAGCCTCTCGACAAAAGCATCAATATTTACTATGACTGACCAAACTAGGTCGTCAGTTCCTCTAAGCATTATACGATCTTCCCACTCTCTTCACTAATATAGAACGAATGTACATAGTGAGCGCTCGTGTTACGCTTGACCAAGAAAAATTGTCATTTTTGCCAGCGGTTCGGCGAACTCGAGCGAACGTGCGCTCACTCGATAAGAGTTCCGAGCTCGCAGGCGATAAGAGTGCTGACACGATTCGAGGTTGTTCACCTTGGCGGTAACGGGAGGAGCGAGAGAAAGGCAAAATAAAGGGGGAGGGGGATCGAGAGATGACAAGAGATGGAAATAAAGAAAGAAAGAGTGTGCACGCGTATATGTGTGAGAAGAGGTGAGAAGTATGGGGGAGAGATCGTACTCTTATCGGACTTCTCGTCAGTTTGGCTTGTGGCGTAGGGACGTTGCAAGATTAGAACGACCCCGAGAGAGCAACCCGGAGAGTCGACGAACCGGCCTCTGATTGGGCGATGTCGAGTCAACGCTCCGCTTAGAGGGTACGGGGTGGGAGAAGAGAAGAGGGAGAAGGTGGACTGGGAGAGGAGAGGACACTGCACATCAATCGAGGTCATTGGGGACCGGGAGGAGGCCAGGCCATTGCCCGCGCGTCTTGCTTTTGAGGTTAGCCAGCAGTCAGCAGAAGCGCAATTAGAAAATATTCAACGGAGGACGCATGATTTTATTACGACACAGGCTTTTTTTGGCCGAATTTTTTAGATGCATTGTACATTGCGTTTTTCTAGAATCAAATTATAACTGTTTTTTGCAGTTATTTGAACGTTGAGCATTTTTAATTTTGAACTAAAGATGAAATAGTATATTGTTTTAATAGAGAAACACAAGTTCAAAACTTCTCGTTAAGAAACGTTAGTTATGAAAGATGGTATATACTTGGTTAAACATCATTAGAAAAATTACAGATATGGATTACGATTCCAAACAGAAAGTGTAATATCGGTACACTATTATGTGACTATATATATATATGTACAAAAATTTTGAGAAAATATTCTGTATCAGCGTTGATACCGCGCGTATATCTTAATAGTTGCAAGGAGTGATCTGTCTTGTGTATATGCGCCATATGCGGCAGGTCAGTGCACCGGGGATGATGATGCACCGAGAGAAGATGACCACTCGTGATGCGAAGAAACAGTGAAAGCATTCCAGCACGACGAGCAGCGAGAGTGATCACGGTCCAGCTAGCTAGTACTTTCTCCATGTAGCAAAGACAGTCTCTCGGGCTGAGGAGCGAGGAGGAAAAGAGAAACGAAGAGAAGGAGGAAAGAGAGATCAGCGAGAGAGTCTCGCGAGGAGGTAGTCCACCACGTAATTCACTATCGTACAGTTACGTAACGAAGCTCACGCTAACGAGAATTTCCAGTCGATGATAGGCCGGTGGTGCGCGTACGTACGTACGTATTGTATGTACATATGTACGTCACCGCCGCCGTGCACACGCTCTCTACGAAGTCACGCGTCACGCATGTCGACGTATGTGTACAAGCGGCTCGACCGATCTCTAACGTGCCGACGAGACGTCGTCGGCTGTGTTGGTGACCTTCGCTGGTGGATGTCGAGTGGGGAGGTTTAGTCGAATAGCTCAACTGAAGTGGGAGAGAGCCACCCGAGTAGTGGGGAAGGAAGGTGGGGAAGACCTAGTTGGAGTTCGTTGAACCAACCGACGGCGATTGGCCACACGAGTCGCAGAGTTCACCAACAGCTCTACTTGGCGAACGGCGAGGCAGGCAGGGAAGGAAGGGAGAGGGTCGGACTGCTCGGTTAATTTCATCTTGCCCCAGTTACGGGGCAGGCAGGGTGAACGAACTAGCCTCGCGCCAAGGCCCCGTCGACCCACTTTCCTGTCGGCGTCGGGAGAGAGCGAGAGAGCAAATCGCAAGCACGCGATTTGCCAAGAGAAGAAGACGCGAGATGGAGTAAGAGAAATAAAGGAGAGAGAGAGAGAGAGAGAGAGAGAGAGAGAGAGAGAGAGAGAGAGAGAGAGAGAGAGACAAAAGAGAGAATAGGAGAGGAGGAAACGCCCGCGCGTATATATGTGTGACAAAGAGTGGGAGGCTCTATAGAGAGACTCTCATACTATCTAGGCTAGGCTCGACACAGTGAAACAAGAAGCGTGCGTGGTGTAGGAATAGTTAGGAGGGGTAGGGAGAGAGAGCGAGAGCGAGAGAGAGGATGAAAGAGGGAGAGAGAAAGAGACAGAGAAAAATTGCCGGAGCGCCGAGTGGAAGGCCGCCGACCGAGGGCAACGAACTCGGCCTCGTCCCGGGCCCCGCGACCTACATTCCTGTCTGCTGGAAAGTGAAAACGCCTGTTTCTCTATTCCCTTCCTATGAATAAGGATTCGTATTATGTTAGAACTGTTTCTGTGAGTCCGTTATGTATATGCGGGTATTAATAGATTTTATGGGCGGCACGCGCGCGTAAATGAAGCGTGAAGTTATCGCCCGGAGGGCAAACTCTCCCTTTCGTCAAGTCTTTCACTCACCGGCCAAGACGCATCCCAGGAGATTTTCGCTATCCTGCTGACCGGGTCCGCGATAACAATTCCGCATTTCCGATTGTTCCTTGTCATTTTCGTGAGGTTCGCTCGGAGTGAAGATATCTGATGTCGAGGGTTGTTGCTCCTCTGTCGCTCCCGTGCCACGAGGTTTGATCTTCTGCACAGTCATCGCCTGGCGCGAGAAAATTGCGAGTTGCACCGTCGAAATTGCGTTACGATCGCTCGGCGCACGTCTCTCTCTGACGCGTCCACCCGAACGTAAACAATGAACAGTTGGGGAACATGCCACATGCAGAAATGTGAGACAATTTGTTTGTTTGTTTTTTTTTTTTTTTCACTGACAGCGATCGTATAATCAGAGTCTCACTTAACAAACTCGTAACGTCCACGCACTTGTCCGTCAATCCTACGATCACTATTTTATTAATGATCTAGGAATTAATAGTGTTCGATCAACACCGTCCGTTAACAGCCGTTTTTTGCCAGTAATAATATCACCAGCATGTTGCACGTTATGTTGTTGCTGTTGCTGTTGCCGCGACCGCGTGGTTTAAGCGGTATCTGCAAATATCGACGCTTGGCCCGCGCTTGTTCGTATAGTTAGTTGGTGTGTTGTGTGTGCTGTGCGATGCGGTACGCGAGTGAGTTCCTCGCAGCGTGGTGTGCCGCGGCACCGCGGCGCCTGCGCGTCGAGCTCGCCAGGGATCACCGAAGTGCCACCGTCGCGCGTCAACCCCGCGCGCTCAATCACTTGCCCAAGAATTAACTTTTGGCTCGGTCCAACTGCGCGAGTTTCGATGTGTATATTTAAAAAGGAGAATGAAATTGATTAATTAATCTTTAGGTCAAATAAATTACTTGTCCTCGAAAAAAAGTTTTTTTGTTTTAGAAATTTAGAGCCGCTTAATGTAAAAAGGAAATGCAATAAATTGGAAATGCACAAATAAAAATATAAAATATATGACAGTTGGATTTTTGACATATTTATATATAGATTTATGAAGCAACTAAAATGTATTAGACATAAAACTAAACATATTTTTTTTTTGATATTATACTTACACAATCGCGTATCAATAATTCTATGAATAGAATATCTCTAATGGTTTGAATAGATAGATATTGTTTATTCTTTTTCGTGCACAACAGAATATTTTCAGACGATCTAATCGAATTTAAATTAATTACCTCCATTGTATGCCGGAATATAAACCGCTTCATTTGTACGGCCAATTGGCACGGTTGACCCGTCATTAGGATCAAGGATCTTAGTTAACGGATACTCGACCTAGGTTTTATTACGGCTTGATGACAAATCACCAAATTGCATTGTTTGTAGTTGAACATATGATGAAAGATCGCTTCAAACTCCGCTGATGTTAATTAAAGCAAATGAATTCTTAACCCTCACCAGATCATCTTGTCACACACAATTCAAAGAGATCTCTGTGAAATACAAAGCGATTATATTTCTCAGACAATTTTAAGAGGTGGTTTGCTTTTGATAAATGTTGAAAAAAACTAAAACACGTCTACACAAGCGCATCGCTTTTGTCTTATTTCTTTAAACATTTATAAAACTTAGAAGTGATATAAATCATTGTTACGTAACAAAAAGCTTCATGTGTGCAATAGTGAGTAATATATATATATATACACACATATATCGTTGAATCTTTAATTTACAAGAAATAATAGGTTTTCCGAAACATCTTACGTCAAACACGCATAAAAGAATTAATCTTTGTTACGGCCCTGTTGAATGTGATATATAATCGGGGAAATAGTGCGTTCTCTCTTGCCAAGCTGTCGTTGACTCACCAACACTTAGAGAGTGAAAGCTGTTTAACCCTCGCGCTAACGGATGCGCGCGTGTGCACGCGGCACGTGGGTTACATCTACGGAAAATACAAGTTGGATTACAGTTGGATCACAGGTGAGCGGCGGGACGTGAAACGAGCAACGGTACAGACGGCAGCGTGTAATCTAAGTGTAGCCCAAGCCTAACCTATCCCAAGTAGATCCCTGTGAATATGCATAGTGCGACTGAATAAATATGCGAGAAATAAAGAGCGCGTTCGGTTAATATAAAAGAGCGTATCTAAAAGTAATGTAGTACATAATTGTTTTAGCGGTAATAGTTTTTAATAAAAAAATTTGAGATTTAAAATATAGATATTAAAAAAAGTAAATTTGAATTTAAAATAAGATTAAAATAGAGATTCAAAATACATACACACTTATATTACACAGACTTATCTCACACCACTGTTGGATGCTTGTGCGGATAAAATTTGGCAAATTTATCACTACTCGTAGTTCGCGTATCGAACAGCTAGAGAAGAAATTTTATTGCATTCTTCTCGTGCAGGTCTATTTGCACGCAGACAATGAACGAGCTGAGATATGCAGCCGGTCAGATATGTCTCTGCAGTGTCAGCTGCCTGCCTGGAGTTCGCGTGGGACACTTTCCGCGTTGCAATAGCAGCTACCTACCTACATCGTAGAAATTTTTCAGATGGAGTTTGACTCGCGTGCGCAAGATAATATCCTAGAAGTATATTTATAATTATGCAACTCATAGTCCACTCCTATGCGTGATACTTATTGCTTTTCTTATTGAGTGAGAAAACGCACGGATGTGTGTCTGAATTCTTACTTGCGTCTAATTAATCCCGAGATGAAGTTTCTCTTTCTTAATTTATGAAAGCTCCGTTTAAACATTTCGAATTTCACCGCGGCGCTTTTATCACGTTTCTTTATCATCTACAATTCTGTTTCATTTTGCACCGGGTAATTTTAAATACGACTTAAAAAGTGTTCAAACAGATCGGAGATAAGTAAAAAATTAATTTTCAGAAAATTAAAAAATGTATTAAAAAAATTTAAACGTATTTTTATTGACATGTATTTAGATTCGCGCGCAAATACAGCATATAAAGAAACAAAAATTACCGTCAGCAAGCATTACTAATTAAATTGCAAAAATCAACAAATATTTTGACACAAAGAATATAGACACGTAAAAGAAGCCTTGTCGATACCATTATTAAATGCTTTTCGTGATAAACTACATGCAACTTCTGTTGTAAATTGGTTAATTAGCAGCCAATATATCTGGTGCAGAATGTGGGTAACTAGGACTCGTACTTCTTTCGTAATGCAGCAACTACAGGAGTGTAGGCTACCGAGGTAGGTTGACTGGAACGATCAGGTCGGGAAAGTCTATCCTACATCCAAACTTGGAAATGAGGCGAGATATGCATATTGACAGAAGGTTTTTCATAGATTTCGAGTGGTACAGTTCGAACGGATTATTATCTTCGAGCACGAGCATCTTTCGATGTAATAGTCAACAATAATTTCAGCTCCGTATCCAGTGCGTTCTATTAGTTAAGTATGTATATTAACACGCATGACAAGTTACGTAATGTTCTCATCAAAACATCGCCATCAGTTCGTCAAGCTGGATCTGTTATTTTTTTCGCGCGATAAAATCTGACTTTCTCGCCTGTTAAATTGACGAAAAGTATTTAACGCTTTTGATTGTTAAAATGTTTAACAAATTGATGTACAATTCATACGCATATTATTATTCTATTTGAAATAAAATTACGGTAAATATTGCATTTATTAATAAATAAACGAAACAAAACGCATAATCGATTTCATAAACATTCACGTGTTGTAAGTAAATAAATCCGTGCTTTACGATTAATTTCCATATCGCATGTCACTGCATTTAAATGGCGAGCAGTTTTGAGAGACTTAAAATAGATCAAATATTAGTTGGTTACATGATCAAGAGCGACTTCTGCTACCGGTTGTGAAACGCGTATCGCTGGAATTAGGAAAACCGGCCCTGACGAGATGAAAACCAAGAAGAAGGCGATGTAGGCAATTCCTCTGCGAGAGATAGATAGAGAGTAGACGAATATATTCTCACTGAAACTAGGTCGAAAGTACGAAAAAAATCAGGCGTCGTAACTTTTCTACGTAACGCATTAGCAAACGTTACGCTACCGGATAGTCGCCAGTCGTCAGATAAGTTCCTTCATACACCGGGCTGTTTAACGGCGACGCATTTCTGCCGCGCGCAGCTGTCGTAAGTGCGTTTTCACCGCTTCGCAACGATCCAGTCCCGTTGCGCTTGTTTATCGATCGATCGAACTGCGAATTTATGCGCCTGTCGAAACGCTGTACCAGTCAGTTTTGGTTGCATGCCGGTAGTACAGCGCTATCGTATGCCGATCTATTCCAATAATAAAAAAAAAAAAAAGAACTTGATATCTAAAAGTGGTCCGGGTGTAGTAATGCTACTATTGTATCGCTAATTGCAACACGGACAGAAATAAAAGGTCTGTTCCGCGAGAATCTGATCGAATTCTGTTTCGACTGCAAACTGATAAATATATTTTTAATATTTTAGTACACGCGAATGTTGTTTATATCGAGCTTGACATCATGAGAACATTAATACCAATTTTCTCTTGTATTTGTTATTAGAATAAATATACAAGATAATTGGATTAAATTTTATTTTTTTGCAATATTAAAAGATGTATATAATACGCGTACGCGTTTTAAATTTAAATTTATAATTTTTAATAAAAAATATTCTTCGTACACAACAATATTGCAATTTCAATTACATTACATCCGTCGCATATATTTCTAAATACAACATAAATCTCTCAAACAACATATAACTTTTCTATTAATATCTTTATTATTTTACTTTTTATGTAATTTATTAATTTCATACACACACACATCATCATCATCATCAGCTATCACTTTTGCATCAACTTTGGTTCTTAATGTAATTGCCACAATTATTGGATTGCAGTGTCACGATACAATGCGACGTATATTGCTTTGTATACTGCCGTCCATGTTACACTTAATTTCAAACATGTAAAATCCTTTCACTCTATGCATAATAGTTGCAATTGTCGCAATTTATAGCGCGCAAGCTTGGGTAAAGATAATACACTGACATTAGGCATTTGAAATATTCTAGAAGTATTCACGGAAAAAATGTGTGCAACTATTCGTTCGAAAACATATGCGTTCCAGAAATATTAACAGATATTTAGCCGAGTTTTAGGAAGAGGTAACATCAAATTTGTTCAAGATATGTTTATAATATATTTATATCTTTCCAAAACGTGCTTTTGCACACAAGAGAAAATTTCAAAACAAAAAAAAGAAGAATTTTAAAATACACTATAGTAGATAAGTTTGGAATATAGAAGTGCTTTTTCGCGCGGATGAGCTTCGACGAAAATATAGCAATATGCTAATGATTTTGTTAACTCTTTTAGTCACCGTGTATTTATATTCCCGCGCAGAGTATCTTATATTAGATACGGTCAAAGTGCAACGTCCTCCGTTCTCTGTCGTCGAGGTCGATCGCGCCAAGCTGAGAACGCGATGTTGGAATATTCAAAGGTGAGTCGCAGTATATAACTTTGCTTAATTCAAAAGAAAAAGAAACGGGAGAGGCAAACAATAAAATGTAAAGCACGTAATATTTGTACGTTACAAGAATGAAATAAAATATCTAATAGATAAATAAAATATCTATTTATAAATAATGTAGCAGCTTAAAGCACTTAAAA